CCCGGGCAGGTGGGGGACAGGGAATTTCTGGGGGTTGGCACAAACTTCCCGGAATTCTGAGCATAACTTCCTGGGCCAAGTGCTCCTGGAGGAGTCTCCCAGCTATACCTGTTTCCCCGCATCAGTGATGGAGGAGAACGCTGCCTTTACTGGGCTTTTTGTCAGACAAGACCGGATGGCACCAAGCCCGTCACAGACCAGGTCTGTGCCTGTCCTCCTGCTCACTGCCTGTCCCATGGGGGCCCAGGGAAGAGCCCTGCCTGTTCCAGCTTCCACTGCCTCCAGCCAGACCTGGAGTGCAGATGACCTCCAGCACCATTTTTTACCTCTCTGCTCTTTCATTTGTTTTTGTTTCCTCTTTTGCCAGCTTTAGGGATTGAACCCAGGGCCTGCGCACTGAGCTACATCCCCAGTCCTTTCTAATTTTTTTTATTTTGAGATTGAGTCTCACTAAATTGCTAAATTGCCCAGGCTGGGCTGGAATTCACGATCCCCCTGCCTCTGGGAATCCAAGTTCTGGGATTACAGGCGTGCACCACTGTATCAGACCTTTAGTTTCTTTATGGGAGGGGTAAAAAAAACAAAAAACAAAAAACCAGGCTTTGACAGCCTTGACCAGCCTCATTCTGAAAGCACAGATGGGTAAAGTAATGTAAAGGAAGTGAAGCTATTGTAGGCAGCTAAGTTAGACAGAAGCTGATATACAGAGAGGGACTGAGCTCTCAAGGAAGACAGTAGAAAAAAATGAAAACCGAACGGTGGCTGGAGGCACCTGTGCCGAAGGCCAAGTCCCAAAATAAAGATCTAAACGCCCACATACTCCCCTAAGGGATGAGCAGTAACTTGGGATTTTACTATAATTGGTACCACCTGGTCCAGTGGCGTCCAGATAGACATCAGTCACCCAAGTGGGTGATCAGAGCATCCAGACCCATTCCTTCCCCAAAATGCCTTTGTTCTCTCCATGTACCCTTGCTGCCTGATGGACCTCCACATCAGCTAAGTGGCTATACTTCTAATCTTACTGGTTGATTACAGTTTGACCCACACTGTATGCACCTCGTGATTTTGCTCTCCAAAGCATTCTTAAGAGAAATGACCTCAGTGGAAACCCACTTTCAGGCCCCTCTCTTGTCTGTCAGGAGCTATCTCTCAGCAAATATTTCCTACGCTTAAACTCCATTGTTGGGTAGCATTCATTCTTCCACTTCCTGGGGACACGAAATTGGCCTGACATCTAGCAGGTTGGGAGTAGTATTTTCCCCTACGTCAAAGCCACCTACCTGCCTGAGGGCACTCTGCTGCAGAGTGGCAGTTCTGGCCTAGCCAGGCCCCAGGTGTCTGCTCAGTACTTGAGAGGCTTTAGGAAAAGCATCAGCAGGCACCAAAAGTCAATACACAAATCTGGGGCGCACCCCAGCGGGTAGGCAGGTTAAAATGCAGCGGCTTTGGGAGCGAAGTTGGGAGGGGAAGACAGCCCTGCGGCCTTCACCCCCAGCTCCTGCAGTCTGGTTCGGCCCTGGAAGACCATGTTCCCTTGTCTCTGCTCCCACTGGCTTCTCACTCTCAGGAGAGGTTCCAGGACGTCCTGGGAAACAAAGGGTGACTGAGCCTGGGCCGGAGGAGTCACCAAGCTCTGCTTGCCCAAGTGGCCAACAGGAGCACCAGGTCCTTCCTCCCTCCTCCGGGACACGAGGCTGCTCTGTCCTCGATCCTTCTCTACCTCCTCCCAGCACCAACCGTCGTGGAGGCCTTTCTGCTCCCATTTCCTAGGCAGGAAAGCGGAGGCTCTGAGCAGGAAGATGCCTCGGTGCTCGCAGCCTAGCAGGACCGTTAACACTCAATCACCGCGAGTGAGCATCAAGCGCTGGGCTGGGCTGGGCTGGGCTGGAGGCACCTGCACCCCCACGGCGAGCCCCGCCCAGGTCAAACCCCACACAGGCGGCCACA